AAAAAAAAAAAAAAAATGTATTTCCGCTCATGGGCTGTGATCAGAAGTATAAAGGCTAAAGCCTGAGATGTGTGGGTGGCTGGCAAGTGTGTGGGGGCTCTGGGACGGGGCACAGTGCATTGGGGGACCCAGGTGCTGGGGGCCTAAGGAGCTGCCAGGACATCTTTGGACTTGTTCTATTGAGCAAAGCAGCAGCTATGTTGCCTGATACAGCCTGGTTCAGACAACAAAGGGCGTCTGGCTTCTGAGCGCAGCGTGGCCCTTGGTCCCTGGGCCTGCCTCCTGTACAATGGCAGGGCTGGCTCACCTTTCCTGGAGAGTGGGTGGTTCCTGGCGAGAGGTGAAATTTAAACAAAGCCTCATTGCTGTTCCCAGGATTATTGGAGCCCTGTGCGGCCCCACCCTGCCTTGCAGAGCAGGGAACCCCCAACCCTGGGCTGAGGCCAAGCCTTTGGGTGGCAAGACAGGAGGGCTGGGGGCGGGGGCCTGCGACCCCATCCTTGGTGGGCTCCTTTCTGCTTAGCTCTGGCCTGTCCTGGCTTGGGGGCCATTCACCCGACCATCCTCCTCTCCTTGCTTTAAGTTCACCTGAGCAGGAGCCCAGGAACCTCTAGCCTGCTGCTCTTGGGAGGTCTATGCTGTCACCAGTGTTTCAAGCATTTTCTGTTTCCATCCGAAACAGAAAAGAGTTTGGTTCAATCTGAGAATCACACAAATAAGTGCCTTAGGCATTTGGTTTTTCCCGCTAACCTGTAAGTGGTGGGCCCAGGCCTGTCCTTGAGGGTTTCTTTCCCCCACGCCCCCCCACCCTGTGTCTGAGTGCTTCCTCCATAAAAGGGCCTGTCAGCGTCTCCGCGAGGCGCACAGTGCTCCTCCTCCGCTCGTCCCTGCGGGGTCCCTGTGCCTGAAAACCGAGCCGAATCCTCTTTCAGGAACGCTTTAGATGTTCATGAAAACGCAGCCTTTTGCAGCGACTTTCCTGACCCCTGACCCCTGCGTGGTTAGGGGAGCTGGCGCTGTGCGTTCCACAGCTGGAGACGGGAAAGCCCGGCTGCTGGGTGACTCCCCTGAGCGCGGAGTCCGGGCGCCGGGGACTCAGCCCCCTTCTGCCTCCTCAGGGAGCCGCTGAGGAGCTGCAATCTGAGCACCAGGAGGGAGCCTTGAGGCCCGGGATTCGCTCTGGCATCTTAATTATTCGCCTGCAAACAGGCTCTGGCCGCTGAGCCTCAGTTTTGTGGTCTGTAAGAGAGGCGCTGCGACGTCTCCCTCTCAGGGCTTCTGCCAGGATGAAATGAGCCCGCGAGGAGGGGCAGTGGGCATGGGTTGGCTCCCTTCCGTCCCTTCCCTGAGGGGACCCACAACTCCCAGGGTACCCCAAGAGGGTCTTGGGGTGGGGGCCGGCCAAGGCCTATTCGTCCTTCTCTTTCCCCTTCTCCTCCTGCTCTTCCCCCTTCTTCCCCTCCCTCTTCCCTTCCCCCTCCTCTACCTCTTCCCCCTGCCCCACCCCTTCCGTCCTTCCCCCTCCCCTCCTCCTCTCCCTTTTCCTCCTCCTCTTTCCCCCTTCCCTCTTTTCCCTCCTCCACCCCCTCTCCCTCCCC